GATGGAGGGCGGTATCGAGTGGGTGTTTTGAAACGTCAAATGAAACTGCCTTGCACCAGCAATCCAGTCTCTCAAGCACTCAACCGAAGTGCACTTCCTGGCACACCACTCGAGCAGCGTTAGTCACTGTTTGTCATTGACTTGCCTTCAGCCTCACGTGTTTCATCCCTGTTTACAACACTAGAATCAGACGTCGCTGATCCTCCCACGTCTGCGACCGAGAACCTTCTACATTGTGCGAATTCAGACCCTTGGCACGACAGACTTCGGGATCGAAAGAGAGAGTCCTCCTGCTGTCCACTACTTCTCCACCCACGACGACGGTCTCCACACCCATGGACGCACAAACGGTAAATTCGAAACTTAGCTCCCTACTCTCTCCCTCTCTCTCTACATATATCCTGCGCTCTCTCGCTAGCCTGCTTACTGGCTCATTCGCTCTCGGTACTGGGCTCACGCATCGCATCCATCAGCAATTAGTGAGTGAAGCAGTCACCAACTCAATGGTGGATCGTCAGGTATGGTGATGCTGTCTTGTTGGAGGCACACTTTAGGCTGCAATCGGATAAGTGGTGTGGTGTGTGGAGGTGGACAGGCATTTGAGTGGGGTTGGGGACTGGGCCGAGTACTGCAGTATGGTGCGTCAGTGAGGGTGAGAGGCGGTGGTCGAGGCAAAGTCGCTAATGTTGTGGTGCAGGTGTACTTGGGAGTGTGGAGAGCCGGCATGACTCGAGCAGCATATGGAGTGGAGTTTGGTTTCTCAAATGCCTCAAACCATGAAGTTGTGCACACTGCGAGGAGAACCATGGCCACGAGTAGGCGAGGCTCCCACTTGACGTATGTGCTCTGGCATGGCGTGCTGATTGTGGTGGCAATGAGAGAGTGAGCGCGAGGCTGTGTGTGTGATGGTGAAAGACAGGGTGGGCAGAAGTAGACTATGCAAGGGTCTACGTCAGGCAATCGACGTCAGTAGTTGTCTTCTAACCATCACTACCTTCCATTTGTAATGGGGATAACTGACTGCCAACGATGATTACTGCGAATGGTGCAGTGGTGCTGCTAACCGATCACATTACTCGAACCATGTTGGTGCTGTCGCATCGCCTCTCGTTGCCAAGCACTGGTGGTGTCTGCATC